TGTGCAAATTTCAAAGACTTTTCTGTTTGTTAAATTTTGATCATTATTTATTATTTGTTATCATTTACAAAGGTTAATTCTCACTTTATTAAATTTATAAAACTTACAACTGTGTTTTCATTTAGCGTTGATCATAGTTCAGATATCCCCTTACCTGGGTTGACAATCATAACTGGAGGCAGTTTACTGCTTTAAGCCAAGTTGGCTATTAACTTTGTTAAGTTATTCATTAAAGAGTTCTACTTCCGGTTACATATATATTACAATAATTAAAATCTTCGTCAAACCTTACTACTGACTTATGTCTTACTGAAGAACCTGGAATCTACCGACATGGTCTACACAATTAAAGAATAGAAGAACTAAAAGATATATGTAAGAGAGCGAGAACCCTAAATTTATTATCCATTAATAAAAAATACGACATTTCCGAGGCATCTGTATATTGTATTTAGATGTACCATACGATAAATAGATACATACGATCAACATGATATCGTTGTCATTCCTACTCTTGATGTATATAAAGTCCACAACAATAAAATATTTCATTTGCATTTTCTTAGGAATTGTTCATCGACATTCAACATATTGTTTACATGTTTATGTTACGTTTGTCCCAGAAATCCCGCGAGATTTGTACATTTTCCGACTTTTTCACAAAAGAGCGCACTAAGAAGTATAACTCTTCCATAGTGGAAATAGAACGTATTCTAGTGATGGGAATCGGAAAGAATTTCATAATCAATGATCAGGTGACTGTAACTAACTAATTATTGATTATAATTGGACATTTACAAAGTCTATCAATTGAGTTAATTAAGTGGTAAGAATGGGTAAATGACTGCTTTCTGTGGTGGTCCAGCTGGTCCTTCGTTCATTTTGTAGAACCCAAAGTTCGTCCATACCCGGGAATGTGCTTTGTTACCCAGATGGAAACAATTGTGTGTTCGTCTACGCCATCACAATGCACAAACTAGAACTGTCCAAAGGGGACAAATACCCCCCGCTGTGTTTTTCAGAGAAGGTACCAAATCACTAATGTTTTCTAGATGTGAAAGGTGTTCACAATTTGCTTAAACATTTAGAGTGAAAATTTAATTACTCATTGTATTTTTTTTAATGAATGAAACTAAGGTGCAGCCTAATAAAACATCAATACTTAGTCTAATAATTACAGTGTTTTTTTTATTACATTGGAAAAATAGTTTGCAACTATTTGTCATCTTTGTGAGACATGACACTCTGCAAATTGATTGTTGAAAAAAATTATCATAATTAATTATACAAAATCAAATTGATCTTAATACCTTTATATCAAACTCATTTTAAAAATAAAAGGCTGGTTCCAGTAACTATATTTTGACAGACATAAAATTACAATTAAGAGACTTAGACAACAGAGATCTTTATTTCTTTCTACCCAATTCCCAGGAGATATAGATAAGGCCTGCTTGATCAGAGATGCCCTCACAGCTTCCCACACTGAACTCATTAATCTTTAACTGGATGCATCTCCACTCATTACTCCCAAGGGACAAATGGATTTACACTATCTGCTGTGTAATGTAAAAACTGTTTTTAATACTTTGTGATTTTTTTTTTTAGTTCTAATGAGTAGTTTTAAGCTGTAGTTCACATATTTGTACAGATGTTCTAGATTCTCAAACCTTGGACATGAACCCGAAATGGCCAAGTCAATAAAAATGAGAAGAAAAAAAAAACCCTGTAAAATGCAGAAAAATTACCAAATAATGTTGAAAATACCAGGTGCACATCTTCATATGGTAAATAATAAGTGTACACATTTTCATACAAATCTATACAATAGTCTCTGGGAACAGATCAGGACAAAAGCACATAATAAAAATGAAAAGAACACCTGTAAAATGCAAAAAAATTATCCAATCATGATGAAAATACCAGGTGCACACCTTCATATGGCAAGTAATAAGTGTACAAATTTTCAGACAATCCTTGCAACAGTTTCCAAGAAATGGTCCGGACAAAATCTCATCTACAGACAGACGGACATGCTGATTCCAATAACCCCCCCTAAACTTCGTTTGCGGGGGGTATAATAAGTTAATAAATAAGTCACGGCTGGAATATTTGGCTTAAAAACTATTACGCTTGTAAAAAAAATTAACCGATTAATCAGAATAAATATTTTGTAATCGAGTGCTTGGATTATGCCAACAATCGACTGACTTTCGATTATAATCGATGATTGGAACACCACTACCAAATCCTGAAAATTTCTTCAAAAATGGTCAAAAGTTTAAATTGTTATGCCCCCGTATTAAAGATTCAGGAATATAGTTTTTGCCCTGTCTGTCCGTCTGGAGGCTGTCTGTTTGTCTGCAAAAACTTTAACCTTGCCCATAACTTTTGATTGGTTGGAGCTATGACTCATATTTCACAGGTGTATTCCTTGTGACAGGACCTTTCTTTGGGTATCATCATATTTGACCTTTTGACCTTGACCTTGAAATTTGGCCCACTTTTGCAAAATTTTATGAGATTATAACCTTGGTCATAACTTTTCAAAAGTTAGTGCTTGGGGCCTTCGGCTTTCAAACTTCACATATGTATTCCTTGTGACAAGACCTTTCTTTGGATACCAACAACTTTGACCTTTGATTTTGACCTAGGAGTTTGACCTACTTTTTAAAAACACTTACCTTGGCCATAACTTTTGAATGGTTGGTGCAAGGACTTTCATTTAAATGTCTATTCCTTGTGACAAGACCTTCCTTTGGTCAAGGTCAAAGGGTCAAAGTTGTTGGTATCCGAAGGAAGGTCTTGTCACAAGGATTACATATGTGAAGTATGAAAGCCCTAGCACCAACCATTCAAAAGTTATGGCCAAGGTTAAAGTTTTTCAAAAGTAGGTCAAACTCCTAGGTCAAGGTCAAAGGGTCAAAGAGGTTGATATCCTGAGGAAGGTCTTGTCACAAGGAATACACATGTGAAGTTTGAAACCCCAAGTACTAACTGTTCAGAAGTTATGGCCAAGGTTAAAGTCTCATAAAATTTTGCAAAAGTGGGTCAAACTCCAAGGTCAAGGTCAAAAGGTCAAAGGTCTTGTCACAAGGAATACACATGTGAAATACGAAAGTCATAGCTCCAACCAATCAAAGGTTATGGGCAAGGTTAAAGTTGACAACGGACAGACAGGACAAAAACAATATACCCCCGGGATCTTTCGATACGGGGGCATAAAAAACTTTAAACTTCGCCATAACTTTTGAACAGTTGGTACTAGGGCTTTCAAATTTCACAGGTATATTCCTCAAGACAAGAACCGCCGAAATATGGCTGAAATATTGATGACTCCGCATAAAATAATAATAATAATCCTCAAGACAAGACCTTTCTTTGGGTACCAACATTTCTGATCTCCTGAGTCCTGACCTGGAGTTTGACTTGCATTTGAGAAACTTTGACCTTTGCCATAAGCTGCCATATGGGGACATCAGTGTTTCACAAACGCATCTTGATTTTCAGTGTATTATTGCATAGAGTCCAACCTCAAATCCAAAAATGTGGAATTATATGATGAAAGATCTATTTCTAAATATTATATAACATTTTACTTTGGGGGACAAAGGTGGGCTCATATCTTAATGCTTTGCATTATCAAAAACACCTGTTTTTTTGCAGAATTCAAGAACACTGAAATTTTACAAGGCCTGTTTGTCAATACCTGGACTGTAAGATTAAACTTTTTATATAGGACATGAAAGCACTAAGTCTCTACTTTATATTGATGATTGAAATGGAAGATATAAAGTTTTTAAAAATTTCACATTTTTTCTGCCAGTGTTCTTAAACTTGCAAGAATGACCTTAGGTCAAGATTATGTCATACTTTCAACTCACAGTCACTAAATCTTTGTTTGAAGTTTCTACTTATGAACCTTGAACTTGCTGAAATGACCTTGGGTCAATGTCATGACATACCTTCAGGACAGAAGTAATATTTGTGTGAAGTACGAATATTCAGTGTTTTCCAATTAAACTATACATGAATTTAACAATTTTTCAGGTAGTAACTTTGTCAAAATTGCTTTTGGTCAAGATCATGACACACACTTAAGTCACAAGCAATATTTGTGACAAGTATCAATATCCAATTAGCCTCCATTAGAAAATGATGGACTGGACACAAGTAATACATTACCGGTATTTCTTCCTGTGACCTTGAAATTGCTGGAATGACCTTTGGTCAAGGTCAATAATACCCTCAGGTCATACGCAATCTTTGTGATAAGTGTGAGTTTATAATGTTCTCCATAACAAAATATTGACAAAGCAAAAATAAACAAAATAAATTTGACCTTGAACTTGATCAAATGACTTCGGTTCAACGTCATCACACATGCACTTTCAGGTTATTATCTTTGTATCAAGTATGAACTTTCAATGTTTGTCCATTAGGAAGTTGTAGACCAGACATGAATTTTATACTTTTTCAGCTAGTGACCTTGAACTTGCTGGAATAGCCTTGAGTTAAGGTCATGACAAACCCTCAGGACATGGACAATCATTGTACCAAGTATGAGCTTCCAATGTTTTTTTTTTTATTACAATGTTATGGCCTTTACAAAATTGCATGGACAGACACAGACAAGGTGATTCCTATATACCCTTCCAACTTTTAAACTTCAATTGCGGTGCGAAGTATGATAAGTATAGTACATTTAAAAGTATATACATTGTACTGTACATGATAAAAATCTAGAAATACTTCAATCAGCATTAGTTTTTGGAGCAGAGGTTATGCCTGACATACAAAATAAAGAAAAACATCTTTGGTTTGCTGCTAATATGCTCTCAGGATGGTTTATCATCTCATGCACACCACAAAAAAACACAGTGCTGAAAGATTAAAAGTGTCCAGTGCATGAACTGTTTACATCTCCTAAATTTCGTAGCAAACATTTTTTTTTTTGAAACAGTCCAAGCACCCTAGATTTGATCAACACTGGGCCTTACCTCAGTTTTTAAGCATAAACTTCCAAGAACATGTGGTTGGAAGAAGGAATATGGGCTTTCTATGAGCAACCCTCCACCATGTTCAACAAGTAATTTGTCATCTACTGCTTTTTCTATGTTGAAATTGGTCTCTGGATTCAACAAATTTTTCCTTTCACACTAAAATACAAGTTAACAAATAACCAGGTATATCAAATAACAAAAGGACCAGTGGCCAGGTTACTCAGGCCAAATGAAAAAAATATGTGTGTTTTTGGTATTGTACCAAAAACAAGATGTGTTTGTGAAACAATGATGCCCTTATATGGCAACTTATAGTGAAGGTTAAACTTTCTCAAATGCAAATCAAACATGTTGGTACCCAAAGGAAGGTCTTGTCTCGAGGAATGTATCTGTGAAATATGAAAGCTCTAATAGCAACCATTGAAAAGATATGGAAAAGGTTAAAGTTTTTCAAAAGTACGTCAAACATCAAGGTCATCGTCAAATGGTCAAAATTAATAGTGTTCAAAGAAAGGCCTTCTCACAAGAAATACACACAAAATATGAAAGCCCTAGCACCAACCATTCAAAAGTTATGGCCAAGGTTAAAGTTTTTCAAAAGTAGCCTAGGTCAAACTCCAAGGTCAAAGGGTCAAAGCTGTTGGTATCCAAAGGAAGGTCTTGTCACAAGGAATACTCATGTGAAGTAGGAAAACCCTATCACCAACTGTTCAAAAGTTATGGCCAAGGTTAAAGTTTTCCAAAGGAAGGTTTTGTCATAAGGAATACTAATGTGAAGAAGGAAAACCCTGTCACCAACTGTTCAAAAGTTATGGCCAAGGTTAAAGTTTTCCAAAATAAGGTCAAACTCCAAGGTCAAGGACAAAGGGTTCCAGTTGCTGATTCTCAAAGGAAGCTCTTTTCACAAATATGTGAAATATGAAAGTCCTAGCACTAGCCATTCAAAAGCTAAGGCCAAGGTTAAAGTTTTAACAAAAGTAGGTCAAACTCCTAGGTCAAGGTCTAAGAGTCAAAGGAAGGTCTTGTCACAAGAAATACACATGTGAAGTATGAAAGACCTAGCACCAACTGTTCAAAAGCTATGGCCATGGTTAAAGTTGGGTAAAATTTTACAAAATTGGGTCAAACTCCAAGGTCAAGGTCAAAAGTAGGATGGGTATCAGCAAAAATTTTGTATCTTGATATATCACGATTTCCCCCCAAAATATCATGATAATATCACGATATTTTTACATGGGATTTTTAATACAACTTCAAATGAATTTCTATAATTTTTCTTACAAATACGCTGATAAAACATAACTTCACTTTTTTCCTTTTTTATTTATATAGTATAAAAGCATGTTTGTATACCGCATTTTAATTTTTTTCAACATTTTTTAGACTTCCTGTAATTTTTATTTAATAGTTCGAAGAAATAAATGAATATATATTATGGAATTTATAATTATGTACCAAATACCAGTGTTTTAGTCTCTGTATCACGATACGTATCACGTAATAAAAATCACAATATACCGGTATACCAAAAAAATCGTGCATCCTTAGTCAAAAGGTCAAATGTGATGGTACCTGAAGAAAGGTCTTGTCACAAGGAAGACATGTGAAATATGAAAGCCATAGCCTGAACCAATCGAAAATTATGGGCAAAGTTAAAGTCTTTGCGTACAAATAGACAGACAGCTAGACAGATGGACAGACATGGAAAAAACTATAAACCCTTGAAACTTTGATTATGTGGGAATAAAAATTAGGGTAGGTAAATAGGTGATTACTTTTTAAAACTTTAACTTTTTATTTGAAAGCATCAGTTAATTATTCAAAACACTGTTCTTTTGTCATATATTATATGCATACACATATCGCCGCTGAAATATAAATTATCATGAGTCTATTTTTGGCAGGAATTTTTTGTTGCAAATTTAGAATCTACACTCCTGAATCTATGTTCTGTAAAAAAGGCATATTTCTAAGCCAATTGGAAAGCGACATATTAACGTGTGAAAAAAATTGTATATTTTTTTTCTTATAAAAGGTCTCAAGTTTTTGATCATAACATCAAATTGTTGTCTGTCGATTTTTGGTAGGAAATTTTTATTGCAAATTCCTGAATCTATATTCTGTCAAAATGGCATATGTATTTCTAGGCCAATTGATCAATCAGAATAAATAAAATTCTGCAGATGAACGCACTGGTCCTCAAAACCATGCAGCTGTTATCTAAGCAGAACAAAGACTTACCGTAGCAACTGTAGAGACCAAAATATCTCTTAGATCTGACTCTGGTTTTTCTTGGAAAAATCTGATATCTGGCAGACAAAGAAAGGCCTGATCTTGCAGAATGATTAATCGTTGAAAGCTATCTCCTGGACTATCAAGTTGAACATAAAAACAAAACAAACTAAATTTGAGTGCATGATAATCTGCAATTACAAGATATTATACATCATTATAGGCTTAAGTACATCTTTGAGAAAGATACCTTTGGCATGTAACATAATGAGATTTGCTTTCTATACTTATTATTTTTCCTTCGCCATGTTTACCATGTTTAAAGAGATCTATGTAGCTCCACAATTTAAGTTCTCTCCCTTCCACCCCCTCCCCCACCTTTCAATGGTAGAACTACACTACATTTAGAAAATATGACAAATTATTTTTTGATTAAACTATCAATTCTTTTCAAAACCTGCTATTAATTTGTTTTACTTACACTGATGACAGATCACACATATTTGAAAAATGTCTTATTAGCTCTGTGTATGCACTTTTATATGGCCTGATAGGTAGCAACATCATTTTTAAAAACTTGGTCATCATCTCCAAAAAATCTTGAGACTTGGCATACACTTTTATCAGGAGTCTGAAAAAGATACAGAACTTCTTCATAAATCCATCAAGTTACAAAATTGATAATACAATATAATCATCCATGTTCACCAATTAACATGTAGAACAGGCATGTTAATGGTCCTTCGGATGAGACCGTATAAACCAAGGTCCTGTGCAGCAGTAAGTGCTGGCACAAAAAAGATCCCTCACTGCTCAATGGCCCCGAGTGCCAAGTATAAAGGCCTAAATTTAAGTTATATAATCCACTGAGAACATGCATAAAGGATTGTGGAGATCAGTTCACAGGCACTTGTTTCTGAAATAAATATTTCACCCCATATCTAAATACTGTCAAGTTTCCCCCTTCCCAGAATTTTTCAAAGTAAACACAGTGGGCAATAGTTTATCACCATTCTCTTCCACAACAATTTATATACATGTACAAAATCATGTATGGCTTGCTTGCTTTTATTGTCTTCTCTCTGTGTAAACAACCTCCAAACTTTGCGTGCTGACTGGAAAACTGGTTTCACACCAAAAAGTGCTATGTACATTCCTTTGTAATTTGGAGTTAGATAAGATAACTTGTGATTTTATTTTGATGTGGGTTTTTAAAATAATTTCAAAACAAGTGCCTATATGGTATGGATCAGCTGCTAAAATTCATACTACCATGGCATGACTGCATTTGTTGTAGATATCTCAAATAACATGGAAATGTCAAAGTAAGTGGGCTGTCAAAACCATTTCTGTATATATTCACCTTTCAAAATTGCCATTACATGGTCCTTTTACCCAGATGAATTCATGACTGTACCAGCCAAAATATCTGTTGGAGAAAAATTTTGTAACATTTTTTATTAAAATAGCTTCTACAAGGTACCTCCTATTTGTAAAAATATCACATGTTTCTAATCTTTTTAAGCCCTGTATAATTGAACCTCTATATCTTGAATTCCCTGATGTATTGAAGGTTTTTCTTTGCCATTACTCTGTATACATCATGGCAATCCGTACCTTTTAAATTCCAATTCATGATCCTGAATGCCCTTTATCTGCATATATTCACAAATGTTGAGGGATGATAACCTCTGCATGCACGCTTCAACGTTTGTTACGTGTCTCCTAGTCAATTCAGAGTTGATCCTCAGACTCTTTTCATCATCAGCAATATTAAAATTCACATACTCCATTAGAAATTCCTTTATTCGCGCCATGCTCTCTGATGGAGGCGAAATCTGCCTTTTGTTCGTCAACTTATTATTTAACTTTTCTAAAATATCGTTTGGATCTGCATATGCACATTGAGCATAAAATACTCCGAGTTTTTCAATCGCTTTACATTTTTTCCACTTCGAAACACGGGACGGAATTTGATCCTTTTCGTTATGTGAGCACCAAGCCATGATGATGATCTCTCATTCTCTGTTTCAGTGTTTATATTCAGCGCTAAAAAGAAAATTCTACTTTCACTTTAGAAACGCTTGCATCTCGTAGCGGAAGTGACTGGAATCAAGGGCAGTGAACACAGTTTTTATCAAAATACTGAAAGTACTAAAGGACGGAGGCATGTTTGAACATATATATATAAGATATATTGTTAAATTTCATCTGTTGAAGTACAACTGGAATTGATTAATTAAATTAAGTAATACAAATGTTTATTACATTTTCAATAATGAAATACTGTAATTTATATATTGAATTTTTTTTGTCACAATGTGAAAGAATAATTAATGTCAAAGTGACATTTTGTCACAGTTTGAAAGAATATCAGTAGTATTTCCTTCCCTACACGAAGAGTGTTGTTAAAAACACTCCCTGGCCTGATATAAGATAGAGAGAGTAAACAGATCATCTTGACAGAAACTAAAACTGCCAAAGTTTCTCCAAATATGTTGTTGAAATTTGTTTACAACTTGATATTATCAACCTCACAGTAGCTAAGGTGATCGGAAGGTCTAGTGTTCGAATCACGGCCGCGACTGACCTTAGTCGAAAAAAAATAGGTAGCAACTGTTTCTTCGCCAAGCGCTCGGCACGTCGAAGTGAAAGTTGCGGGTCCTTCGAATGAGCTTAAAAACAAGGGTCCCGTGTCACGGTAGGCGTTGGTACTATAAAGAACTTCACTGCTCAATGGTCCTGAGTACCGAGAGGTCTAAATTTGAAGCTCTTCATCGGTATATGGTCAAGTCTTTATATGAGTGACAAATTCTCGAACGGGACGTAGTACAACATTCAATCAATCACAGTAGCTGAAGTTTGGCGTCTCAACTGCTCAAGCTCTATGTCTTCAAAGCCTATGAACTGTGTTACGAAAAGACAGAAAAGGAAAAATCAAAGAAAAACCGAAAATTCAATTGTCGATATATAATTATAATTGAATATGGAATTTATTTCACTAGTGAGATATATATATATATATATATATATATATATATATATATATATATATATATATATATATATATATATATATATATAAAAATATATATATATATATATATATATATATATATATATATATATATATAAAATAAAAATTTGTTTTAAATTGTTTTCGATAGGGACCAGTTTTATCAATATTGATAAGCATATATTTAGCTGTATCACATACAATGTAATTTAATTTGGTTATTATAATATCCACAGTATTTTAGATTTATTTCAACTCCAAAAAATGAATTTAAAAATTCTAAGAATAATATTAAAGCAAATCTTGTTACTTTATTATGCTCTATCTGTTGCAGGATTAAGACGTCATAACTATCAAATATTCGATGAGTGAAAATGAAAATTTAACACGTATTGAGATTTAATATGGCCAAGAAGCGTGTACACTGCACATGTTGGCACTGTAAACAGTAGTAAAAAATGATAAAACAGTTTTTAGAAACATTAGAATATTGCATGTAATTCATGTGAATTAAAGTTTATCAGTCGGGAATTTTTACTGGTTTATTAATTATTTTTATTTAGGACAAGCAGCTATTTAAAAAAAATGGAAGAGAACCTTGATACTTCAAACATTACATGTATCTCGCATTTGTGGCAAACTGTAGAGTTTTACATGTACCGACTGTCGTCCGTTGTTGAAAAAGTGCAATTGAAAAATTTTCTGTCTGAGTATCCATTGCAAAGTCTTGTTGAGAATACCCAGAATTAGCAGTCAGGTGATTACAAAATTATTAAGGCTTGGTGTTGAAATTGCTCTGACTCTCTGGTGAAGGATCCAGACTCCGGTAGCTTTTTTTACACCAAGTTGTGAGGTGATAAACATTTTCAAGTCCACTTCTTAGATATTCTTTTATTTTCCAATGTCAGAATCATTTAAAATCGCTCACCTTAATAACAATAATCCTTCATCCAGTAGCTTCTTACTGATTTAAATGATGTTACACCTTATTTTAAGATAACTCTCACTATAATTGCTTTATTTAAATTTACGTTTACAACAGACATCGAGTTATCTCTCGTTATATGTGATGCAAACTGTGGTATATTTTTCTAAACCTTTTGTAACAGGGGCAGATTTGTGCCTCTGAATTAACCCGGTCCAAATGAATGTTCTACAGATCGAACTAAAGGGATAACCCACAATCCTAAGTTAATAGGTTGCCGTGTATCTTACAGCGTAGCTGCCACGTTGTCCCCCTCGAGGGAATGAGATACCCTCATCTCTTTTGGAGTGCCAACGGGCAATCACTTTCACCCGCCAGAGAGAACCCGGGTTCCAAAGTGGGCGCCAAATGTAAGAGGGGCAAGTTTGTGTCTCCGAATGTAAATGAATCCGGGACCTCTGACATGTCAGCCCAGTGCTCTACCATCGAGGTACTGGATTATCCCACTAGCTCACACTTTTGTGTTAGAACTTGTATATGTACTTAATTCAGCAAATAAATTAGAGAATTTAATGTGGAATCACCGCGAAAAAAGCGAGAAAAATGGAGCATTTCGAATTTGGGGCCACACCTACAGCACATAAATATAAAACATGGATTAATCAATTTTAATTTTATTGTTCAGTACATAAATATAAGTCATTATTCCGCAAAACGGTCAAAGAAAAAAGTATTTTATCAATTTTATTTTGAAAAATCAGATTGACAATATCTATGTGATTTTTTGGATACCAGGTCTTCCAACAATCTGTTGGAATTCCCGTCGGTACCAATTTCTCCCCGTTATTAGCAGACCTATTTTTGTATTCATATGAAGCAGAATTTATTCTTTTGGTAGTTCTTTTGAAGAACAAAAACCCTTAAGAAGACGTTACAATTCATCATCTCTTCCCAACATTTCATCTACTGGGTTAGAAATGTCTTCTAATAACGTTTCCAAGTCTAGACAACAACCTAGTCCCATTGTACAAACCAATCCCCTATCCCAGGGCTTTGCTACGTCCTCACCTATTCTTGGTACAGTAGGGTCTCTTGATACATCTGAGGACACTTCATCTATCATTCATGATTTGGCACCATCATCTGCTATCAATGATATCATAGTAAAGACTATCAGTAGACAAGCATTCATTGGATCGCTTGTTCCGCTTATTGCGACAGCTTTAGCACCCCATATCCAAGTTATTATACAAAGTTGTTTACATTCAATGTCAGAGACCATCAAAACTCAACAAGAAACAATTAAAAACAAGCTGATGGAATCAAGAGTGTTAAAGAAATAAACTCTGACTTAGAACAAAGAGTGAGTGATCTCGAGTGTGGCCTTGACGACCTGGAACAATTCGGCAGAGGAACTTGTCTTCGTTTCCACAACGTCAACCTAACAAACGAACAAGCTCAGAATACGGACGAAGTTGTCATTGGTATTTGTAAGACAATGGGGGTTACCATCGTAGCTGACGATATCGATAGGTCCCATCCTATCGGTCGCCCTAACCCCAGTAATCAAAATCTAAGGCAAATAATTTGTCGCTTTCGCAACTTGAAAATCAAAAATAAAATCTTTAGTGCTAAAAAAAAACCTAAAGGAAAATCCACAAAACCCGAGCAAAATCTTCATTACGGAAGACTTAACTAAGTACAGACAATTTGTGGTCAAAAAAATTATAGAAGCAAAAAAGCAAAAAAAAAAAAAAAAAAAAAAAAAAAAAATGGATAGTTTCTGGACATACGAGGGTAGAATATTTGTCAAAACCGAAAGAGATGGAGACAGAGTTCAAATCACCTCGCTGGATGACCTCTAAGAACTAATTGGTTAAATATATCAAGCACCTGCCTATATATTTATGTCACATGTAAAATACAGAATCTACATTTTTAATATTATGGACATGCTCAAAACAGGTTAATTTAAAAATTTCCATACTCTCCAATACCAGTGTATTGTTTTGCTCTCTGAACAATGTTGTTAGACACGCTTTGTTTATTTACATACATGGTCAGTCTTGTATATATGTTTATTATGACTGACTTACAAGTACTTGTTCTTGTAACAAGTCCTAGTTCATTATTCTCTGTTTACTATCTTTTTTTATTTTGATTACATCTACAATGGGTTTCAGTTTTTCTAGACAATATCAATATTTATATGTTTGCAAGATACAACGTTGCTGTTTTTTGCGGCTTTATTTTATTTCCCTTACCAACCCAAAACACTAGTTATTACCGATCATGAGTAATACTCTTGATCAACATCGAGCTGCAATTGGAATTTTTTACCTCCGAAATAGATGCACAATCAAATCAATGACATTGTTTTTTTCAGATTTATACATTTATTCTCCTTGTTGTTGAAAGTGCATGTACCAATGTTGTAAACAAAAATTCAAAGTTTGCATGAAATACGCAGTATATTTCCAGCATGTCAATTTTCTTTTTCAACTTATAAGCATATTACTACTGTTTTCTGGGGATACTGAATCAAATCCTGGGCCTACAAATAACTTAGATTATTTTGCTTCTATTACTTGTATTGACGATGGCGAAGCTGTGTTACCAGATTTTTTTTCTGTTTGCAATAGCACATTTGATACTATCTGTATTTGTGAACAAGAAATTATAGATATTATTTCAATTCTCCCTGTAAACAAAGCAATAGGCTCAGACAATATTAGTCACAAGATGTTGAAATCCACAATGTATACTATTGTAAAACCGCTATGTTTATTGTTTAACAGGTCATTAGTTGATTGTATTTTTCCTTGTAAATGGAAAGTTGCTAATGTTCTCCCTTTATTTAAGAAAGATGATCCTTCTATTATGTCTAATTATAGACCCGTGTCATTGTTAAGTTGTATTGGTAAAGTAATAGAACGAATCATATTTAAACACTTGTATAATCACTTTTATGATAACATACTTTTTTTTATAAATACCAAGCTGGATTTCTACCAGGTCACTCCACTGTATATCAACTAATAGAAATATGTGATACTATTGTTAAAGCTATTGACAACGGTGAAAATTGTTGCATGATATT